CATATGTAGATATGTACTTAAGTGGCCCAGATGTGTGCATATGCGCTTACACATAAGTTTGCATATGGCTTAGTTACGATTCTGTGTACATTCAAAAGAAAATTGCGGCACAGTAGGCAGACGAGTCAACGCCAGCAAATCTTATCAATTCTTTTGGTGCATATTTGCTTTTTTTTTTAGCTGAGCGTGCGTAGAAGGAACATATTCACATACCCACGAGTTTTGAGTGGAGTGCAACATATCTACATACATACATACATATGTTGTATGTACACGAAACGAAAAAAAAAAATGTTGCTGGTGTTGCAAGCAGCCGTCGTCAATCGTCTTTGGGAAATTCTCACGCTCCGCTCGATGTTGGGCCACGCAATTTCGGTGCAACGAAACCGCCTTGCTTGCCGCACGGCATGGCAGCAGCTTCTTCCTTAGCTCCGTTGTAAGTAGCGGGGTTTTTGTTTTCATAATTTGTTTTTTTATTTTTTTTTTTGCTTTCTTTCAGTTGAAATTTTTTTCTGCTACTTTGCATGCTGCATCCTCCTATAGCCTGCATTTTGTGTTATGCACCATATTGTTGCATGCTGTTGTTGAAATGATTGGTATTGCAACCAAATTGCTTTCAATATTTTTATGATAAATATTTTTGAGATTTTTTTTTATATATTTTATATCCCCACTCCAGCACACCAGAGTAGCATTGCTGTTGAGTGGGGTGCGTCACTTCTGCGATTTCGATGGGCTTGAAATTTTTTAATTAATAAATACCAGCAATAACCGCATAAAAAACTTAAGATCAACAAATTGTTTGGAAATGTTGCAGCTTTCCGTATGGCCGTAAGCATACATAGCTACTCACTCTATTTTGTATTTGTATTTATGTGCACATGCAATGTGTAATTGATCACTATCAGATAAATAAACGAACATTGTGCTCGCACCACCCCTTCTCGACGCTTTGTATACAAAGAAGTATTCGTATCATTCCACTTTGAGTGCTTGGCAAATTATTGAATTATGTTATTGTTATTGCCGCTTTTCTTCTTGCGCACTCTTTCTCATTCCGCCCCACACTCTGTTACTGTACTGTTTCTATTAAGCCACCACCGCCCAGCTTAAACTGGCTTTGCCCAACCCAAAAACCCCAGTCAAGAGCAGATCAGCGCGATCGATTTAACGAAAAGGGGACAGCGCGAAGGCAATTGAAAATCCTCTCATACGCTTCAACCGCCACATAAGACTACAAAAAACAACAACAGCAACGATTAAACTGTGAAACGTCAAAAGCAACAAAATGACTTTAATATACAATTTGTGTATTTTTAACACAATTAAAAGCTATTTGTGCGCCCAAAAGCCAGCACCACTTCGTTTACAATAGAAAACGGCTAAAGTGTTAGCTTCACGCGTCCATCAAATAAAAATTATATAAAATTTTTATTTTTTTTATTTTGCTTGACGTTAGCTGTACATACAACGCGTGCAACATACGGCCGGCCAATTAGCTAACCGCTCAACGCTATCGAGTATACTTTTCGCAGTAAACATTGTTATTTTCTTTTATTTTGTTGTTGCTCAGCGCCTGAGAGTGTAAACAAAAATGTTGCCACCATTGGTGTGTGCGATCGCATGCAGCCACACTTAAGCTGCTTAAGTGCGCTTTAGAGGGCGGCATATGCATATGAGGGTTAAAGTTGCATATAACGAAGTGCTTCATTTCAGCTATGGGAATTTTATAGTTGAACAAATGGCACAATATGTATGTGCCATATTTCCTTACAAAGACAAATAAATCCATTGATTGTTTAAAATCAATAAATTAAAATTGATAGCCGTCAAACAATTAGAGTTTTTAAAAGGAAAAAAAATATTAATAATTGCCCTTAAAGTCTACGATCGCTATGCCCTATACCAGGGTTGGGCAAACTTGCGACGTTAGCTTGTTAGTTAAACATTTGGGTGCAGCAGGAGATCTTATCTATTCCGATTATGAAGTTATTAATCCTGAAAACACGAAATACTGTCAGCTTCTTGGTATCATAGCATACGATTTTCTTACAGTCGAGCGATATTATTTGACAAATTAAAATGCTTTAGCCTTTGTCTGGCCCACCCTGATGTATCATCTTCGTCCTCAAAGTACGCGGCATTCTGTCGCTGTAAATATATGACGATTTAAGTGCCTAGCCAATAACCTTATTTCAGTTCCATTTAAGAGCCCGGCCTATTTGAAATGCACTACCATTCCACAACACATACTTCGGTCTGAGTTTACCCAATCAGTAATTATAAGTCCCCAACCAACTGAGTTCAAAATATGCTTCCCGTCCTACGAGAATCTGCTCTCGCTGAGTCTTTTCTTACCAATTTTTCGCCGACCTCGTTACTCCAGTGTCTGCTGCCCAGTACAATGTCATCGTAGTCCTCACTGCTTCGAGCGGAAGAAGATCACAACACTCGTTTACGAACTGTCAGATGATTATCCTATCAGTGATGGCCGCTTGGCTTTCTAAAAATATGCCTAATACCGCGCCCTTCCAAAACCCTTTTGACTGCTACAAACTCTGTCTGAAAAATTAGGGGTCATAAATCGCTTGCAATAGAAAGTTCAACCACCAGTAATCAACCATCAGAGGGACGATCTTGCTATATATACAGTCTATTGACTTTCAGTTCCGACCCCATGTCCGACCACAGCGTCTTCTAAAGATCAAAATTATTCGTTCGGCTTTTATTCGCGCTAAGAGTAGCCTTATTTTTCAGCTCAAACAAAATAGTGTTAGTGCAGCACCCGTAGCGCGAACTTGACAGATCATCTAGCTTCCAGGCCCGACTTGACTCCGAATGACTTCTTATTTTTCCGAACTTCTTCTACGTCCGAACAGGGAGGCCTTCAAAAGTTTAGTTTCAAAGGTATTACCTTTCGGAAGGGCAAAGTTATAAATTTAGAATTTTAGGTAAAATTATACGCGAAATTTGCGTTTCAAACAAATAATGCGTATAACATTCCTGCGTTAAAATCGATTCGAAATATTGTTCTAAATATTGTTATATTATTAATCATCTACATACATACATACATATGCACAACACTTCAAAAAACTAATGGCAATTCCAGATGCTTTTCTGATTGAAATAAGAAAAAAGTAGTTTACTGTCTCCTTTCCAACAATTACGCTTATCAAAATTCTAATTAGCAAAATTTTGTTAAAATTCTAAAGCTGAGAGGATTATCATTTTAATTGCTTGCCAGGTGAACTCTACGCTAGGAAATATACTTTTTTATTAGCACAATTTAAATAAAAAAAAAAAATATTTGCTGAACATTTTATTTAATTATTTTTAAAATTAATAAATTATCGTTTATTCACACCATTGATGACCTTATTGCAAAATGTCTGTGCGATAATTTGCGAATAATAAAGTTATTTGTACAAACATACTTACATATTTATTTACATACAAACACACGAGCATTTTGAGAACCGTTGAGCATGGATTTTTGCGACAGAAAGAAATGTGAATTCTTACGTGATAAGAACGGTTTTATGTTTTTTTTCACAATGTATTAATACTTTGACTTGAAGGAATTAAAAACTGGCATTTTTATGGGAAATATTCAGCCATATCGTGAGTTTCGCTCGAATGTTTTTTTTTGTCCGCCCGTAGTGAATACGCGGAAGCGAAAGGTGAAAAAAAGTTCGATTCGGGCGAAAAAATAAACTAATCGTTAGGCTGATTATGTGCGACATTACTTTTTCATTACTGAATTTTAAGTTATTAGCAGGGCTGGAAAATCTGGAAGTTCTGTTGATGTTTGCGTATATGTATATTTAAAAAAAAAAAATGAAGCATTTTGAACAGAAACTCTGGCTATACAAGAATTGCTAGTATACAAGAGCTAAACTTGTCTAAAAACTCAAAAGAAGAAAATTTAATTTTGGTTAAACTTGTTTATAACATTTCAACACTTTCTTGTGCAATGCTTTTCGTTTTAAAGTAATCCAAACATTCATTATCACGAACAGAAGAATTCATTTTTTCAAAATTGTATTTTCTCCGCAAATTTCAATAAAAAATTATTTAAATGGGAATTTAAAAAAAAATAGCTACTTAAACTTCTTAAGAATTTAATTATTTCCAATTTTTGTAGCGAATTTTGAGAAGGGCTATTTTTTGTGTTTTAATCATTCCTCATCCTCTCCTCATAGGTGGTTTAAATTAAAAAAGTCTTGCGCCTAATGTACAGTGGCGTAGCCAGGTGGTGTTTTTGGGGGGATATAGTAAAGTAGTTTTTGTTTTAATTAAAAATTATGGATGCCTCCAGCTATTGGGTGTCTCGACTTTAAGTTATCGCTGAAAAGTGTTTGTCATACCCCTCCTTACCGATATCGTGGGTACGCTACTGCTAATCTACAAGTAAGTACATAGCTTAATTTAAAATAACTTAGGTTTCATAATTACATAACTCGACTGTTAGCAGCATGAAAGCATTAAAATACATTAGCACAACAAAAACAACAAATTATTTGCTGAGCTATTGACTAATTGATTTTCAGGGCTTTCAATTGACACAATTTCTAAATTTATGCTGCCTCAATTCTCTTGTGGCAACACAAACAAGTAAGCTCGTATGCACATATATACATACATACATACATAGCAATATTCGCTGAAAAAATAACATATAACAGCCATATTACCGAGCAACAACAATTAATCTAAGCCAAAGTCTATCGAATGGGCAGCAGCAGCAGCAGCAACATAAGCCACTAAATTGAGTTGTTGCAATATTTTTGGTTGGCTTGTTTTAATAAAGTTCTTTTGTTGTTGCTGTATTTCGTTAGCAATTTTGCGCCGCTACATTGTTTTTTACGCTTCTATCTCGTTACGTTTTAGTGTACTCTTTCTTAAAGCTGAAATTAGTCAAGAACGTAAACCTACCGGTACGTAAAGCCAAGTCAGCTGACACGTTCTGTCTTACTAAAGCGCCATGTAAATGAAAACACAACAGCGTAGAATTTTTCTGTAGTTGTAGCCCGTAGCGCAGAAATCTGCGGAATTTAGATTTTTCCGTTTCAGCTGATTTCTTCATTCTATAGATGGCTGCCACTTCGTCAGTTTTGCAGATGGTAAAAATGTTATAATTCCCTATTCAAAATACGTTTGAAATATTTGAAATTTACTACTGAATAAGGTTTTTTGTTGAAAACTAAGTAGTTTATATTTAGCTACGATCTATAATAGCACGAAAACTTGTTGTTGAAAAGGTAACTTTATGAAAAGGCATTGATGAGTGGCAACACTGTAGTAAGCAACACTGAGGGCTCCAGTAATCGACAAAATTCTGCGTATACAGACTGCGTTTAAGTATACGTGCTGCGTTCTTGACTAATTTCAGCTTAACTCTTAATGCCGAACTGCAGTAGCAACAGCTGTTGCCTGTTTTCTACGCTCCGTTTTTCCGTTTGTCTCGTTAATGTTTTAATTTTGTGCGCTCCGTGTGACTTTATCTCTTTTACAGCTACTGTTTGCGGCTACGCTGTTGATTTTCCACTACTTTTGCAAATTTTTTGCTTCTTTTTGGCACTATGTTGTATGTACAAAGATGCTGTTGCAACATTCGGTTTTGCGTAGCTTGGCAGCCCCAAAAGCAAAGCGAAAATTATGCGGCATAATTGCCCATTTCGCACTTGTTGTTACTGTTGTTATTGTTGTTGCTGATGTTAGTTAGCATTGTGTGGATGCTGTCACAATTCTTTTGGTTGTTCTTATTGTTGTTTTGTTTGAGCGTAGCTTTCGGCGCCAACGCCATTGCCGTGTGAACTTGGCTGTGCCCCGATTCTTTTATGTATTCAGCGTGTGAATTTGCGAAATGTTGCATACAAAACATAACTGTGGCGGTTTATTAAAACAACTTAACTCGAGATAGAACATTTTGCCTTTGAAGCAATATTTCATTGGGTTCCCAAACAATATTTTAACGATTAAACAGACAGAGGTGTGGTTTAAGATGTTCTTTTAATAGAAGCTTAATAAAAATATAAACTTTTTTGAAGGGAAACCTATGATTTTTTTTAATTCAAGGTGAAACCTTCTAAAGTCACTTAAGTTGTTTTAATAAAATGACAGACATCTGTATGTATTTACAATTAATTTGCGCCCCTGCTGCCGTTGCCTTTTGCCAAAGTGTGTGCTGTTATATGACTGGAGCATCGCTCCAGCAAAAGTGCCTACCAGCTGTTAGGTTTTGAACTTTTTCCTGCTACTTCATTAATTTTGTGGGTGTGTTGCATATGCACGAGATGCAACATTTGTGTGTTACCCCTAGAGACCCTGCAGGAAAGGCTACTAGGTAGTTGTTTGCTCGTCAGCTCAATTAATTTGTCTTCTTTTTTCGAGCAACTGCTATTTTGAACTTAGCGATGACCAACGAAATGCCAGCAGGCAAAAGTATTAGTTGACGAGCAGAAGCACTCATCGTCATAGGAAAGCTTCGGAAGACTGCTAAGTATTTGAACGCATTCCGAGACAAACATCTATTAGTCTGTTCCAATAGCAGTCCGGCTTACAGGATTTAGTCAGAACTTACAGGAAGTCGTTCCTATTGACATAAAACCTGTAAGTGGGAACACTTCTGAGAGATTAACTGAGCAACTGTTCCTAGTCAGAAGTTACAGGATTTAGTCCGGAGATTTTTTCCCTGTAAGTTCATGAAAAGTGTCAAACGATCAGCTGATTCACATGTGCGAACAAAAACAGAAAGCGATGAAAGCAAAGAACCTTTATTTGTAAAAAAAAATGGAAGGAAACAAAGAAATGTTTGAATATGTATACATTTTAATAATTATTTAGTGATATTTCAGCCAAATCAGTGTTGTACCAATGACATGTAAACAAACCGACTGACGTTTTTACAGGAAATAGTGCTTTTTGCGTTCCCGTGGACTTCTGCATCCTTTCTCCTTTTACTCTCACTTGAGAGAGTAAAATTGTAGTTTGACAGTTCCTCAGGTTTTAGTCCGAAGTTCAAAGGAACAGACTATATATTGAAAGTCCAATATTGCAGTTGGCACCGGAAAACCTCTACGATTATCGCTATACATATCCTTAGTCGTTACTTTGCCAGCCTCGGTCAGCAATCAGAGCTCTGGGTTTTCTCATGGCACTATCGACAACTCTCTAGATCGCCTCGAATTTTTTCGAATTCAAACTGGTTTCGGTTCCACGGCACATTGGTATTGCAGGAAACTACTACATGGCTTTTGAATTGGCTAGGCAGGACATTCTTGAGGCTATCTCTCCTAAAGAAATCCCTTGAATACTTATCGATCTTCGAAATGAATCGAATAGTTTAAGTGCAAACAAATGAGCTTGTTAAGCTTCCCAGAAAAGGAAAGGAGGATACAGGAACTCCTGTATGGCAACCTTTGGAGTGCTCCTGGACAGGAGGATAATCCCGACATGCAAATTTATATAAACCTTCTGGTCGGTAGGCGCCTCTCAGCGCTATCGACTATCTGTTCTGACAGGAGTTCTGATCGGATACTGTCAATTAGAAACCCATGTAGTACAACTTCATATATTTTGGACACCTATTTTTATGTCTTCTTGGAGGATGAGGAGGTGGTTTTATCTCAACATATCCTTAGCTGCCGTAATTTGTCATGACTAAGGTTAAATATTTCGATCCGTATTTTATCAACACTCACGAGAAACCTATCAGCTGTCTGCGAAACTTTATTTTGAACACCCAGCGCTTTTTTTAACAAGTTAACTTAATACCCCATTCAAATTAATTATTGAAACGAAATTTGAAGTGCAGTTTCGCCGCTTTAGGTAAAAAAGTATGAGCTGTTAAATAGAGTTGCCACCTGTATTTAAATTTAATAAATTAAATATGTACAGTGGCGGCAAAACGAATTGGGAAGCAATAATTAACAAGTTTCTGTTGTTTTTTATTGTTTATTATTATTTTTTTTATTGAAAGTATAGCTCACTATCCAACAAAAACTTTCAAACTTTTTAATCAGAACTTTTTGAAAAAATTTTGGTATGAGTTTTGTAGTCCACTGAGTTTTATTAAAATAAAGTGCAAGTTTGAAGTACATAGCTGGGACTTACCGTTGATTTTTGGCACTTTTTTGCTGACGGGTCACGCATTTTTTTCTATGCAAAGTACTATTAATTTTTGAAATTTTTTTTGGGGAATAAGCACAACAACAATTGGCAAAAAAGTCAACGATACACCTTAGCTACTGCAACCTTGCACTTTATTATACTAAAATTTAACCGACTACAAAAAAGTTTGAACTGTTGATGAAAATTTTGTAAAAGTCATCGACTTTTTATAAATCTGGTACAAAGTTTGAAATTTTGACTTATGTATATCGTTTTTTTTAGAAAGTGAGCTTCATTTTTAATAAAAAAAATAATAAACAATTGAAAAATAGCCAAAACTTGTGCTTTCCTCTTTGTTTGCCCGATACGGTACATTAAGAAAAATATTCAGCCTCATTCAGTGTTGCCAGAATTTTTGTATAGCGCATCCCCATATCGAGCGGCAGTTATCCCCAAAAAATCCCAATTTTTCTTCTAAATCCCCATTTAAATCCCCTTAAGTAAGAAAAAAACAATGTATTCTCATTGCTGTTACTTCGTTTTAATTACAGTTTTGAATACTTTTATATTACAAATTTTCACAGTAGTATATGTGTACATATATATGAGATCATTTGGTTATTTACGTATAGCGGCTTCTTATTTTTTATGGTTTTTGGAGACTATTTAACAACACACCTTCGGCCCAAGGTTCCTATTCCCACTGCTGTCTGTAAGTTCGTCAATTTTTTTTAGTGCGCTTGCCACTTTGTAAAATTCTTTTTACACTGAGGAAATCAGAAATATATGCAGTCCATTCGGTAAATGCCAATCACAGCGATCCTTTTACAATTTGGTGTAATGAAGTGAGAGAAAATTGTGTGTTCAGCGAAAGCCATTAAAACAGGCATTTTCCACGAATAATACTTTGACAAAGAAAATCTTTGTTTGAGAAATTGTTAAGGGCAGGCAGTAAAATATATGTATTTTAATTTCAATATGAATATTTTAAACCAAACAAAAATCCCCATCGAATCCCCACATCCCCAACCGAAAAAATCTATCTCCAAATGGTTTCAGAAATCCCCAAAATGGGCCGAAATCCCCACATCTGGCAACTCTGGCCTCATTGCCTAATTCGTAAATTAGATAAACAACTGAACGGCTGGACAACATTGGCATTACCTATCCAGTGTTTTTTTAAGCAATGCCATGCGATTTTCGATACGACTCAGCTCTCGAAAACGACTCGCATTCGACATGAAACTCGCAGTGAGGCTGATTGCAACGCATTTAGAGAATGAAAGGCATTTAAGTACACTTTTAGCTAGAATTAGCAATTTTGAAAAGGGTTGCCACCTATCAAAAAATTTTAATTAAACCTCTATAAATGTATATTCTCGCAAAGAGAGGCGATTAGAGAAGAGATTTACAAATATGCTAAAATGTATATATTTATATGTACTAAAATTTAATTATTAAAAAAAAAATTGCTAATTGAGTTCATTTTTTTTTTCATTACAGGTAAGTCTTGTTACGACTCACACCAACGTGCATCCATACAAAATCCTGCAAAAAGTGGGGGTAGGTAATAGTAACCAAAATGATCCAAACATATGGAGAAAATATGGTTACATTAATATTGCGATGTCATTGGACCTGACCGCCATTGGTCCAACGATATAACATGGGATCACTTAGACAACTACTCCTTCTGTACCAAGGACTGAACTTCACAATATTTTGTGTAAATCGAATACTTCATAATTTTTAAAGGTGCTTTTTAAATTTAAATAGTAAAATCTATTATTTAAAATGAATTTTCTTAAAATCGCTTTAATTGTATTAACATTTGTCAACCGAATGCTATTGCCGATGGGCCACGAAGAGGTGGTGTTCGACACATACATACATATATCAGTTTTTTACATTTGAAGTGGTCCAGTTCAGCATAACAAGTTACTAGTATGCAGCCTGGTCCTTTTGCCCATACTCTAAAACTACGTCCCAGTAGACCACCTGGTCCGCGAATTTTTGCAGGGAAACTACTTACATATGTACATA